ATAGACGTAGAAAAGACACAATTTACACTTGTGTCATTTCGAAACGAATTTCAGGATTGTTGCTTCATATTTCTTCAGTTAGTCTTAACATTTTTAAAGGTGTTTTTAATATCATATCATTTAGGTTTATCATTTCCATTTTAACTAATAAAACTACAATAAGAACAAACGCCAAGGAGTATCTGCTAAAGACCAGGAATAAAGACTTTAGTTTTATAGTGTCTAATCAGTAAGTAGCAGTAGAGCTCCCTGTGTTCGTCCAGGGAAATACTGATCTCTTGCCTATTTCTGCCGCCAAGCAATAATGTGAGCATTACCATGTTCTGAGTTTGAAGGGTGATGGTGAAATTACAAGCACATAGAACTTGACAACTTATGCTTATTAACTCAGACTTTAGCTATTTAAAGCTCTGAGCGACTGCGAAGGGATGGACAGGCGTGTCGCGTACCACCAGGCGCACGACTTGTTTGTCCTGTCAAAAGTAGACCAACTGCCTAATCTCAAACTTGGTAATTTCATGTACTTTGAAATCAACTCCGGGACACTTCATACCAATTGGTCCTATCGGATATTGACTTATGTAGCGCTCATAGCGCTAATCGCTGAACGATCGAAGTGTCGTTTTCGGGCAGAAGTTATTATTCTAATGTAAGAGTCGTATGGTATCATTTCCTGAAGGTACGACTCGACTTCATGGTGGCGTATATTATAGAGTTGTTACACACGGCGATTTTAAGCAACGATGCAAACGCGCGTCTGCATCGGTACAAAAGCGCGATTGCATAGTTACACTTGCGATTTATAAGCGATTGCATCGATGCAATCGCCCGTTTGTATCGATGCAATCGCACGTCTGCATCGATGCAGTCGTGCGTTTGCATCCACGCGGTCGGGAGTCTGCATCGCTTCTAAAAGTTGCCTTGTGTACATAGGGGGGAGTATACGTACACGTATAATATGAAATACCTACATCATATGTTTTTGAACACGATATACACTTACCGTACCTAACCGTAACCGTACCTATTAATAGTTCTCTTGGTCGTTATAAATGGTGATTGGAGGGTGTAGGGGTCAAAATTCAAGGTGGTGACGAGGCTCGCCGGAAACCACAAAGTACTTATAAACACGCCAACATTCCGTTATCAGTATAAAGCATATAAATGTGTATTTTTAGCTTTTGTACAAAAAATGTAAATTTAAGCATTTATTTGTCCACATACTCTTATATGTATGTACAAAATATTACACTTAACACTACAATACATGACAATAGGCTGTAATAATGAACTATTTAAGTTGTAAAACCCCGCATAACACCCAAAATCAAAAATCAAAATCAAAATAATCTTTATTTCATAGGTAAGCATTATTACACTTGAAATCGTC